TCAAATTTTCGAGAATTAAACGCTAACAGCCCCCTCATTAATACATGAAAAGTCCGATAGACGTAATTTCATTATTTTCATCGTTCGTTTGTATTTTGAGAAATAATTACCAATTTAGCTAGATGACGAAGTGATTTCGCGATCATGTGATTGAAATGGAATGCGAAGTTGCGAATGATGCCATGAATTTAACGTCGTCGTTGACATGTTGCTCATGATGATTTGCCGTTTTTCTCTCCTCAAGGTGGAACTATCTACACTAAAGAAGACCTGGAGAAGCTTGCGTATGAAATTCATTTGAGCTGGTCTTCGACGTGAATTGTAGTATTTTGTTCATCTTACAGTGTCGTTTGGAGAAAACACAGAATGATAGTCTTGAGCGACGAAATTTATGCTCAGCTCATTTTTGATGGAGACTTCTGTCCTACTGCGAAAGTGAGTATGCGAATCGCAGAATTTTTACAAGTTTTCGAAAGGACCGTTTGGTCTATAATTTTGCGCGGGATTTTTTTCGTGAATGTTTCAAGAATTGGATTTTATGGTGCATGTGAAAGTTGTCGAAAGATTATTCCATTTGCGCGAAACGTAGGGATTGAGATTTGAAAGATTTCAGTACAGTAGTTGGATCAAGGAAATATTTGGACTGTATTCCAATTTTTTTTGGAGGTATTGATGCATTAATTTATAGTACCTACTTGGTTTTTGTGGATAATTCATTTTCTTATGTTGAGATAGTTTCACGGAGCGTCCATTATCAGGAGTGCCGATTTAGAATGTATTTATTTGCTCTCTTATTTCTTTGACTTTTTCATCAGGTTTATCCGGAACGGACGATCATCATGACCGGCTTTAGCAAATGGGGTTCTTCTGGGGGCTGGAGACTGGGCTACGCCTACTTTCCCGAAGAACTGGAAGATTTTCGGAAAGCTCTTGTTGCTTCTGCTGGCCAGTCTCATTCATGTGCCCCAGCACCGATTCAGTTTGCCTGGGCTAAGGCTTTGCGGGATGAACATGAGCAGATTGATGCTTATGTGCGAGATTGCCGAACTATTTTGAAGACGGTTGCGCGGTTTTGCGAACGGTTCG